TCTATCTGAGATCAAACTGACAACAGCAACTCAAACGGTTTGATGGGAAGCCTAGGGGACAGTGAATTGAAGATAATGGTGATGGAATAATTTGGAAAACGATAGTGAGAATAGCAGTACAACTGGAAGAATGTAATCGATGTCACTGAACTGTACATTTAGAACTTTTTGAAATGTTTTTGGCTAGGTATATATTCACTAAAAAAAAAAAGGTCCTCCAAGGTCAAGAAGGGAGAGTGTTGACATGTCGTGGGGTTGCTAACCAGTGTCATAAAACAATATGTGTACTGACTTTTAACAAGAAACTATTTGTTCTGTAAATCTTCATCTAAAGTACAATTAAAAAAATTTTAAAAAAATTTCCAACGACAATTTTGGTCCACACTGAGATATACTGTTTCCAGATTCTGCAACACTTACCACAAAGAAAGAAAATGTAAAATCTCCCATAAATGAATTAATATTGATTACTTTTGTCAGTCATTAATTTCATTAACAGTTTTTATATTAATAATTGGATATACTTTGTTAAATTTTTCAATAAAATTAATCTTAGATTTATAGTTTTGATTTTCTAATATGGCTACCAAAATATTTTAAAGTTCATCTGTAGCTTGCATTAGATCTGTATTAAACAGAACTATGCTAGACCCAACACTTACTTTACAAAAAATGAGACAAAATAATTGAACAAAATCATGACAAAAGAACTACCAGAATGCTAAACACTTCACAAAACAAACTTACTTGGAATCTTCAAGAGTCAATAAACTATATTTTAAGAATTGCAAGAGAATATTCTATGTAAACAGATTAATGAGATTTAAAAATAAAAAGGCAATGTGCCAATCTTGTTGGACTCTAGCTGCTAAAAAAACCAACATGAGCTGGAGCCTACTGAGGGCAACTAACAACAATAAAAGATGCTTTTGGACAACTCAATAATTTTTTTGTGTGAGATACTGAAGATTTCAGTTTTTGGTTTTTTTTTTTTTTTTTGGCAGATTAGCCTTATTCTTAGGAGGTGCATGCTAAAGATTCAAGGACGAATTCAATATCTGCAATTAACCATTGACTGTTTGCTCATAATAATGTTTTACTTATATGGACAAATGGGGCAAAATCTAAACAACTGGTGAATCTATACCAAGGGCTATGGGTGCTTGTTTTACTGGAACTACAGATTTTCTTTAGATAAGAAATTCAAAATAAATACCTGCAAGAAAGTCCATCTGTCAAAAGTCATTTTCAATGGTGAATAATAACTTCTGCTACTAAAATAATCCTGCATCATCTTTCTTCTTAGACCTTCCTGTATTTAAAGTTCTGTGGACTTTCAGGCTCTGGAAGTGAGGTGAGGATGACTTGAGGACAGAGCGGAGTAGAGTTTTTCTTGGTGTTAAATATACATTTACATTTATTCATTCACTCATAGATTTATTTACATTAGCTACATGGGCTTCCTAATACCTGGAAAAATTTCTCTTTTTACCTGAATATAACTCATAAAGCTTCAATAAATATCACCCACAGCCAGAAAAATTACACCCAGTGTTCACCTGGACATGCCAGAATCACCAGTCAAGGAAGACAGGACAAGGCTTAGGCAAGAGTCTCCTTGACATGAAAAGCAGAAATGCTTTTTCATTCCAGAGAAATGACACAAATTTCCAAGTGGCACTTCAAAAGCAGATGTGGAAGGAGTGAGCGGTAGGATGGCTGCTACTAGCTGACCACTAGCTCAGATGAGCATATCCACTTCCCATGTCCACATCAGGAAGAGGGTACTGGCTGGGGCCCCAGGGATTCTGGTGACAAGGGGCAGCAGCCACATCCTGCAGCTGGGACTTAAGGAGAAACTGTTTTCCTTCTGCAAGAGATGTGATTGGGCTCTGGGTACACACCAGGCTGGCAGTGGTACTGGTGACAGAGCCTGGAGGCCTATACACATGGGCTTCTGGTCTAATCAAGATTGCTACAGGCCACCCCCCCTCAGCAAAAGCATGGCTGCCTGGTAGATGTGCCACCCACCTGAATGTCCTCCCCTGATGCTAGTACCAAACAGAAGAGCGCTAGATTCCACTACAAAGCAGCCGCTCCAGATCTCAGTAGCAACTGTAAGTATATACTGCTGTTGGGAATACAAAACGGCACAACTTAAAAAAACAGATTGGCAATTTCTTATAAAGTTAAACACACAACTACCATTTGACAGCAGTCCCACTCCTAGGGAAATGAAAACTTTATGTTCACACAAAATCTAGGCAGAAATCTTTATAACAGGTTTATTCATAACAACTGGAAACCCAAATGTCCTCCAAACAGTGAAAACAAATACACAAACTGTGGTTATAGCTATACAATGGAATACTACACAGTAATAAGAAAGAACAAACTATTGATACATTCATTATCATTGATGAATCTCTAATACATTATGCTAAGTGAAAGAAGGCAGAGTCAACAAGCTGCACAGTGCATGGTATTTACAGGGACAGCTACCAGGGATTCACAGTCAAGGGGAGGTTTGACTAAAAGGGGCAGCCTGAGGGAGGATTTTGGACGAAAAGAGGTACTGCTCTATACTCCCACTGTACTAATGATCATACACTGAATGCGTTTGTCAACTCATATATAACTGTACATTCCAAAAGTGATTTGCTATTTTTAAATTTTAAAAATAAAGTTAAAAAATGTTATAAGCCTGAAAATAGCAGCACAACTAGAATAATGTAATTGAAGTCACTAAATTGTACATTTAGACACTTTCAAAATAATGTAACTTTGGCTATGAATATTTTCAACAAAAAAAAGGTCCTCAAGGTCAAGAAGGGAGATTGTTGACATGTCATGGGGTTGTTAACCAATGTCATAAACAATATGTGTACTGACTGTTTAATGAGAAACTATTTGTTCCGTAAACCTTCATCTAAAGAAAATAAAAAAATTTATAACCAAAGACCAATTAACATAAAAAAATAAAAATTAGGGAGAAATACTTTCTCCATCTTTGGGAGAGATAGTTAATTGTAATGTTCTAGGATGGACTGTCTCTTTAGGCTGATTTGTCAGCATTTATAAAAAGTACATTTATATGTAAATGTTTTACAAACCATATTCATCTAGCACAAACTATTTTATGCCCTGCCTTTCACACAACATCATGCTATAATTGCTTCTCCTATGGTTTAAACTTGTCTGGGAAAAAAAAAAAAAAAAACACCATTTAGTGGGAGTTCAATATTCTGATGTGTGGTTAGGGATTTATCTAACAACTCCCTTCCTGGTGTACACAGAATTTCATGGCTTCCACCATCTATCACTACAATCACCAGGCACCATCATGGTGCCCAGGGATTTCCATATGATGATTATACAAAAGGAACTGCTGAGTCAAGGGAAGGTCTAATTTGAAGGCTTCTGCTACCTACAGTCATCATATCCCAGGTACCTTACATGAGGAGTCAGTGAGGGAAATCCTAGCTCAGCATGGGACAGAATAAAGCTGGATAAACCTCCAGGCCCATCAGCCTTATCCCCAATAATGTAGGAGCCCTAGCAGGGCTCCCATTATCTCCAGGCCTGTAGTGTATATGCATAGCAGCTGGAGCTTCAGCCACTATTACTCAACAGCCCAGCAACTGCAGTCTCAGGTCCTGACCCAATGAACACTCTTGGATGGTCAGAATTATCAAAATCAAGACTCTGTCCCTGAGCACAGGCTCTGTGCCAATGCCAGTCAGAAGCTCCACTGAAGCTAGGTTAGGCTAGGGCTCTGTATGGGCTCACGATCACCTTGGGACCTCAGAATGAGCATTACTTCTATGCAAACTGTGTTCCTCACACCAAATTTCAGAGAGGGGCACTTCTGTGAGACAATTTTAGGTTAAAACTTTCTGTGCAGTTTCCTCATCAGTAAATCAGGGATCATGATCATAATTGGGGAGAACAAGTAAGATACACTAAACACACATTACAATCCTGATTCTATTAAAAACATTGGTTTCCATACAAGGAATGCCAAAAGAAAACAGGTAAAATACCACAAGTACTGAGATTCTAAGTGAATTTTGCTTCTCTAGACACTTTTCAGTCAAAATAAGTTTTGCACAAAGAGAACATACTGCTTTATACACAGAAAAATCATTAAAACTTGACAGTTGATGAAAAGAAAACATACCTCCAAAAACGTTTGCACCAATAAGACTCTCTAATGAACAGAATTTTTATACAAAGGGACCGAAATGGAAACACTACGTATCCAAATTCAAATCCAAGAATTAAAAGGGTACTCAGAGTGATATTTCTCACTCTATTGTTTTCATCAGAAAAAACGGAAATAAACGCACATGGGGATAACACAATGATAAATTCTACTTGTAACTTTGATAAGATTCATCCTCTGGTACAAATTTCTTTGTGCACAAAAAGGGAAATACTGTGAAACAACATGTAAACGTTCCCATGTACTTTATATTTACATGCTGTCTCTCCAGCATGAGTTCTCACATGTTCAGTTAGGTTAATTAGGGGAGGCTTTTCCATACGATGAGCTCTGGTGGTACAGTGGTTAAGAGGTTGGCTGCTAATCAAAAGGTTGGCAGTGTGAATCCACCAGCCACTCCTTGGAAACCCTATGGGGCAGTACTACTCTGCCCTATAGGATTGCTATGAGTTGGAATTGACTTGATGGCAATGGGTTGTTTTTTTATTTTTTAGTTTGAGTGAATCCAAATTCTTTGAAAGTACAGGGAGAAAAACAAATTTTCCCACATTCTTTACACTTACATTGTTTCTCTGCCATGCATCTTCTTTCAGGTTTGTGAAAAACGAGGGATGAAAACTACCCAACATTATTTAGACATATATTGTTTCTATCCAATATACCTATTCAGATGTATTTCAAAGGATGAAGGACATCTGAAGACTTTCCATGTTCCTTACCTTCATAAGGACTCTCAATTTTAAATTAGTATGTTTAGAGAAGAAGGAAAAATAAAGACTTTTTACATTCCTCACATTCATAAGGTTTCTCTTTACAGTGAACTCTTATATGAATACTGAGGTGTGTGAACCAACGAAAGGTTTTCCCACATTCATTACATTCATGAGGCTTCTGTTCACTGTGATTTCTTATATGTCTGGTCACAGACTAGAAAGGACTAAAGGCTTTCCCACATTACTTATATTCATTAACCCTCTCTCCACTGCTCTTATATGTTTAGTGAGGGATGAGGAACTAAAGACTTTTCCATATTCCTTACGTTCATAAGGCCACTCTCCACTGTGAGTTCTTATATGTATAGTGAGGGATGAAGACTGACTAAAGGCTTTCCCACACTGCTTACATTCATAAGGCCTCTGTCCATTATGAGTTCTTATATGTGTAGTAAGGTGTGAGGCTTGACTAAAGGCTTTCCCACATTCTTTACATTCATAAGGCCTCTCTCCACTGTGAGTTCTTGTATGAGTAGTGAGGTGTGAGGAACGACTAAAGGCTTTCCCACATTCCTTACATTCATAAGGCCTCTGTCCATTGTGAGATCTTATATGTCTATTGAGGGCTGAGGAGTGACGAAAATCTTTCCCACATTCCTTACATTCATAAGGCCTCTCTCCACTGTGAGTTCTTAAATGTCTAGTGAGGGCTGAGGAACAACTTAAGGCTTTCCCACATTCCTTACATCCATAAGGTCTCTCTCCATTGTGAGTTCTTATATGTGTAGTAAGCAATGAGGAACAACTAAAGGTTTTCCCACATTCCTTACACTGATAAGGCTTATCTCCACTATGAAATTTTTTATGTAAAGTGACCAATGAGGGACGAGTATAGGTTTTCCAATATTCTTTACCTTCACGTTTATGACTTTTCAGGTGTGTCTGAAATGATGAGAAACTACAGAAATCTTCCTGACAATGTTTACACTCATAGTGTTTCTCTTTAGTGAGTGTTGTTACAGGATTCTTAAGAGTTGAGCTACAAACGAAGTTTTTCCCACGTACCTTACATTTATATGGTTTCTCTCCAGTAAGAGTTCTCACAGGAGTGCTTAGGTGAGAGGGACAACTGCAGGCTTCTCCACATTGCTTACACTTATAGGTATTGCATCCAGTATGAGACCTGATATGATGCTGAAGTGATGAATGATGCATGACAGATTTTCCACACTCACAGCACTCAGAAGGATTTACTTCAGTAGGAGTTTGTTCGATCACAGTAAGATTTGCAATCTGGCTGAAGGCTTTTCCACACTGATTGTCTTCATTACTTTCACTGAGGCTCTCTCCCATATGCCTTCTGTTAAAAATAGGCAACATGCTGTTGGAAAAATTTGTCACCATTTCACCATTGCCATACAGAGTTAACGTGTACATTTTTTGCACTGAACGGTCCAATTTTTTTTAGGTTAAATCATTCAGCAGAGACACTACTATTACTCACAGTATTTCTAAAACAAGGGGCTTTCTGATAATTGAGTACAAGTGAGAAATGTTTCAAATACGTGACTCATACTTAAGAAAACATCGTATTATGAAAATAATGTGAATAATACTTCAGAGCTAATTATATGTACATAAAAATATGTACACACACACACAAACACATACAAAAACACACACGTATATTAATGTCATGATACCTTGTAACGTTTGCTAGCCTCCCATCTTAGATGATGCCTCGGCATCCGTGTTGAGCCCATTCCCTACCATGTTAGCTGATGCACAACACTCGCTGTGTCTAGTTGTCCCAGATAACTATGTTACTAAAAACACTCAAGTTTTCCACTTCTCGTATCACAGCTGCACCATTTAGTTTCCATACCCACTCTACCTTACTTCTTGGTCTTTAGTTTCAAAAGGACCAATGGTCACCTACCCTGCAAAAATCCCCTCACCTCACCCTTGAACTCTAATAAAGGCCACGCCAAACCTCCATGCATGTGCCATTGCCTACTCACATGCCATGTACCCTGGGCCTTGTGAGTAATAAAGTTCTTAATTTCCATCTTGTGTCTTGTGGCTGAAGTGTGACTTTCCATCCAGGACAATAATAACCTGAGCTGTGGGAAATTGCTCTAAGTCCACCTCGCCCACCCCCGCCCCCGCCCCGGGGATGACAGATGAATTGAAATCAAACACATGCAGGACATGCCTTAAGGCACTTCTGAGGGACTGGTCTTGTGTGACTGACACTCACCTCATATGTCTCCCCTGGTTTTTATACTGATCTTCAATGCCATACAATTTGCAGATTTCTCCTAACATAGAGGACCAGGTGTCATTCTTCATGAATTGCACTACTATTTGTTTACTGGATAACTTTCCTCCATCAATAAAGTTTTGAGAAACTGACTCAATTCCAGTTGAGGTTCAAATATGAAACAAAAAGGAAACGAATTATTATGAGAAAAAACAGCTGTGCACAAATGATTTATGCATTTGCCTCTGTCATGATTTGGCAGTAATCAAAAAGCAATTTACTAGGAAATAACTTCCATGAAGAATGAGAATGACAGTTACATAAATAACTTGCAACTAGAAGAGCAAAGTAGAAAGATATCAGATACAATGTACATGTAACATTAAGAGGAAAAGGGGGAAGGTCTTTCTCCATGAACAAAGGTGTGAGAGAATTGAAGAAAAACAGAAAAGTAAGCTGAGGTATCTGTGAACTTCAGTCTCTTCAACCCAAAAAAAACATTTTCTAATTTATTCAAATCTAATTACCCCCTTTCAGAGCTGGTCCTTTGGAGGATTCTTGCTTTTCTGGTGTTCCCCGATACAGTGGTGCTGGATGAGTCCTACCTCTACCCTCCTCAGATCTTTCTCTTGCTTCTCTAAGAGAACAAATGGGTGTGGCTGGCATGGTGCTCTTGGAGGCCAGCTTATCATGAGGGAAGACAGTGAAGAGCAATGAACATTTCCATGACATTGAGCCAAAACTTAGACTGCTCCATCTTGAAAATATGTCCAAAGTACATGAGACAAAGTCTCACCATCCTCTCTTCTAAGGAGCATTCTGGCTGTACTTCTTCCAAGACAGATTCATTCTTCTGGCAGTCCATAGTATATTCAATATTCTTCACCAATACCATAATTAAAATGGATTAATTCTTCTTACATCTTCTTTATTCATTGTCCAGATTTCACATGTATTTGAGTCATTTGAAAATGCCACGGCTTGGGTCAGGAGCATATCAGTCCTCAAAGTGCCATATTTGCTTTTGAACACTTGAAGGAGGTGTTTTGCAGCAGATGTGCCCAATGCAATATGTTGATTTCTTGACTGCTGCTTCTGTGGGCATTGATTGTGGATTCAAGTAAAACAAGATCCTTGACAGCCTCAATTTTTTCTCCGTTTATCATGATGTTGCTTATTGGTCCAGTTGTGAGGATTTTTGCTTTCATGTTCAGGTGTAATCCATACTGAAGACTGTAGTCTTTGATCTTCATCAGTAAGTGCTTCAAGTCCTCTTCGCTTTCAGCAAACAAGGTTGTGTCATCTGCACGTCACAGGTTGTTAATGAGTTTTCCTCCAATCTTGATGCTGCGTTCTTCATATAGTCCAGCTTCTTCGATTATTTGTTCAGCATGCAGATTAAGTACCAGGAGAACAAACAAATCTGTCTTCAAAGAAGTACACCTAGAATGCTCCTTAGAAGTGAGGATGGCTAGACTTCTTCTCACGTACTTTGAACATGTTATCAGAAGGAACTAGTCCCTGGAGAAGGACACCATGCTTGGAAAGTAGAGGAAGAGCCTTAACTAAATGGACTGACACAGTGAATGCAACAATGGGCTCAAAAATAGCAACAACTGTGAGGATAGTGCATGTCCAGGCAGTGTTTCATTCTATTGTACAAACAGTAGCTATGAGTCAGAACCAACTCGACGTCACCTAACAACATACAGATTGAATAGGTATGGTGAAAGGATACAAAGCTGATCCACACCTTTCCTAATTTTAAAACACATAGTATCCCCTTGTTCTGTTTGAACTACTGCCTCTTGGTCTATGAATAGGTTCTGCATGAGCACAAATGTTCTGAATTCCTATTCTTCACATTGTTATCGATAATTTGTTATGATCTGCACAATTGAATACCTTTGCATAGTCAATAAAACACAGGTAAACATATTTCTGGTATTCTCTGCTTTCAGCCAAGATCCATCTGACAACAGCAATGACATCCTCGTTGCACGTCCTTTTCTGAATCCAGCTTGAATTTCTGGCAGTTCCCTTTCAATGTACTGCTGCAGCCATTGTTTAATTACCTTCAGCAAAATTTTACTCACAATTATTAATATTGTTCAATAATTTTCTCATTCTGTTGGATCATCTTTCTTTGGAAATGGCACAAATATGGATCTCTTCCATTTGATTTGCCAGGAAGCTGTCTTCCAAATTTCTTTAGCATAGACAAATGAGCCAGTGTTGCATCAGTTTGTTAAAACATCTCAACTGATATTCCATCAATTCCTGGAGCCAAGTTTTTCACCAATGCCTTCACTGCAGCTTAAACTTCTTCCTTCAGTACCACTGGTTCTTGATCATATGCTACCTCCTGAAATGGCTGAACGTTGACCAATTCTTTTTGGTACAGTGACTGTGTATTCCTTCCATCTTCTTTTGGTGCTTCCTGCATTGTTCAATATCGTGCCCATAGAATCCCTCAATATTGGAACTCAAGGCTTGAATTTTTTTTTCAGTTCTTTCAGTTTGAGAAAGTCAAGCATGTTCTTCCCTTTTGTTTTTCTAACTCCAGGTATTTGCATATTTTCATTATAATACTTTACTTTTTCTTCTTGAGCCACCCTTTGAAATCTGCTCAGCTCTTTTACTTCATTGTTTCTTCCATTTGCTTTAGCTACTCTGCATTCAAGAGCAATTTTCACAGTCTCTTCTTTCCTGTTTTAATGACCTTTTGCTTTCTTCATGCATGATGTCCTTGATGTCATTGCACAACTCATCTAGTCTTCGGTCATTAGTTTCAATGTGTCAAATCTGTTTTTGAGATGGTCTCCAAATTCAGCTGAGATATACTCAAGGTTGTTCTTTGGCTCTCATGGATTTGTTTTAATTTTCTTCAGCTTCAATTTGAACTTGCATATCAGCAATTGATGGTCTATTCCACAGTCACCCCCCGGACTTGTTCTGATTGATGATATTAAGCTTCTTCATTGTCTCTTTCCACAGATGTAGCTGATTTGATTCCTGTGCATTCCATCTGACAAGGGCCACACGTATAGTCACCGTCTATGCTGTTGAAAAAGGTTTTTGCAATAAGTCGTTGGTCTTGCAAATTCTATGATGTGATCTCCAGCGACATTTCTAGCACCAAGACCTTATTTTCCAAGTACCAATCCATCTTGTTTGTTTCCAATTTTCACATTCCAATCACCAGCAATTATCAGTGCATCTCTATTGCATGTTTCATCAATTTCAGACTGCAAAAGTTGGTAAAAATCTTCAATTTTTTCATCACTGGCATTAGTGCTTGGTGAGTAAATTTGAATAATAGTTGTACTAACTGGTCTTCCTTGCAGGCATATGGCTATTATCCTATCACTAACAGTACTGTACTTCAGAATAGATCTTGAAATGTTCTTTTTGACAATGAATGTGATGCCATTCCTCTTCAATTTGTCACTCCCAGGATAGTAGAACATATGATTGTCTGATTCAAAATGGCCAATACCAGTTCATTTCAGCTCACTAATGCCTAGGATATCGAGCTTTATGCATTCCATTTCATTTTTGATGACTCCAATTTTCCTAGATTCATACTTTGTACATGCCATGTTGTGATATTTAATGGATGTCTGCAGCTGTTTCTTCTCATTTTGAGTTGTGGCACATTGGCAAATGAGGTCTTGAAAGCTCAAATCCATCCACATCATTAAGGTCGATTCTATTTTGAGGAGGCAGTTCTTCCCCAGTTGTATTTTGAATGTCTTCCAACCTGAGAGGCTCATTTTCCAGTATTATCTCAGACAATGTTCCACTGTTATTCATACAGTTTTCACTGACCAATTTAAAAAAATTTTGTTTTTAAAGTGAAAGTTTTTTAAGGTCCCAAAACACAAGTCTTCTCTCTTATGTCCCAAAGTGACCCTAGAAGCAAATGTTCATATTTACAACACTTAAACAGTCTCAAAGCTTTTAACCAGAGAAGAAAAAATAAGTCAGTTTAATGTATGGAGCTTTATGTTCATGAGGAAGCCAAGATATGTAAACTCCATGGAGTAAAAGACTATTTCTTATTTAACAGTGTATTCCCATTCCTCAGCCAAAATACTATAGCAAAGCCAGTTAAGTATGTTTGTTCACTAAATGAGTAAATAAAACAATGATGCCATCCTTACCTACTGAGGCCAGGTTTTTGAAGGTTTCCATCATCACCTCTCTGTAGAGTTTCCTCTGGGCAAGCTCCAGCAAAGCCCACTCTTCCTGAGTAAAGACCACGGCCACATCCTCAATGACCACTGAGTCCTAAAACATCCCACATATTCTAGATCAGCAAGATATCATGTACTCCAATTTATGCAAAAGGAAGGGTGAGGCTGACAGTCTTGAGGAACTGAGAATTCACAGGAATTTGACACAAGGTCCTGTGTTGTACCAAGGACTATTCTAGGGTGTAGCCAACAGTCTCTTCCCTTCGCTGTCTACATTCACTTCCTCACTGATTGAATCTTGTCACACAGACTTCCAACACACTGAAATAATCTCTCCACAGTTTACTGAGGCCAATTACTCCCTTTGCTCTTTATGGTCTAGAGCAGTTAGAACACTGTAAAAATTAAGACAACTGCTCTACAAATGAAAGTCTTACACAATCAGATTATCACTTCCTTGTGATACAAACTTTCATTTCTTATCATAAGACCCACAAGAACATTCAACACAAAACATAAAGCACAGGGTCACAGCAGAATGAGACAGTAATAATACATGTGCAATGACTGGTAGTTTTTCCTTTAGCCCCTCACCAGCCATGGGAAGACCAGGGGGCTGCACAAGCTGGCAACATAGGGCCCTAAACTGGTTGTATTTTCTTGAACTCCAACTGGTCAGGAGGTGATAGGACTACCTGCTGAAAAGAGAATCTTCAAGAATTATGAAGTTTTACATGTCTTCTCTATTTTCAGTAACTCTTCAGTTCCTCTGTCATCCTCTCTTGCATTTTCATGGAAACAGGCAAGAGTACTGAAAACTTAAACAGAGCTCAGGTGAGAGACAGGATACATGAGAATTCCATCTCCCCCATTACCTGCTGCCGTTGAGTTGATTCCAACTCACAGTGACCCTACGATGATTCTCAAATTTTTCAGATCTGATGCTACTCTACACTAATTATTAGTCATCACTCCCCTCAACAAAAATACTGTATTTTATTGCAAATAACACATGCCTCCTACAATGGTTTGTGAACTGCTCCCTTCCCTCACAAGGTTTTTTCATAAGTGCTGCTATGCTGAATTTTTTACATTTTGCTGTAAAAAAAAAAAAAAATTAACAGAGCTCACTTATAAAAATGCCGGGCAGGAAAGGTAGGTTGGCAAAGAAATACAGAAGGTGTGGGTTATGTGCTTAAAAATACAGTACATCTAGAAACCAACACATTCTGATGTTATGACAACCTGTCCTTTCTGCAAGGACAAAAATACCATGCCCTTGTGTTTGCTGACCATGGAAAAGAAGATAGCATCCATGTTTTGTAAGAATTACAAAACATGATGAATGTAATCAATGTCATTGAATTATACATGCAAAAATTGTTGAACTGGCAAATATTTTGTTACGTATATTTTTACCACACCAAAACCAATTCATTTTGTAAATTCATTGAAATGCAGAGGGTTTAGCTATTAAACTGCCTGTGAATCCTAGGAAACAGAGACTTACACATCAGCCCTCTAGATACTCCGCTCAAAAATTTTCCCACATTTGCAATCCCTGGCAGGCATACAAGCATGACTACGCAAACTTTTGCCACTGGCTTTCCCTGGGCTCTAGGACTGGCCTCTGTGAAATAGCATCAACCATTTGTTTTTCACATCTAGTGAGGAAAGAAAAGGCTGATGGTAAAATTGGATAGGACAGCAGAGCAGCTATAGCATAAGAAGGCTCCTCTTATCACGGAAGGGGGTGAAGGGAGCTGCCTAAGGACATCGCTAATCATTCCTGATATGACGATGTCACAACAAACTTCGGCCCAAAGCCAGAATTCAAAACTATCCTTAACTGTGAGGGGCCACGTTGTGTATTTTAAAGCAATCAAAAACTCTGACATTCATTGTACAATATAAATAAAAAACAAACCCGTTGGTGTCAAGTCAATTCTGACTCATAGCCACCCTAGGGAGACCCTACAGGATACAGTAGAACTGCCCCATAGGGTTTCCAAGGAGTGGCTGGTAGATCTGAACTGTTGACCTTTGGTTAGCAGCCGAGCTCTTAACCACTGCGCCATCACGGCTCCTCGTTATACAATACACTAGTAATTAAATATTCCATTTATTGAGCAACTAGGAATATGAAAAATTTTGCAAAAAGCTTTTGACACACTAGCTCATTTATTTCTTCTGAGTCTCCTAAAAAGATATAAATTCACACATTACAAAGTTGAGGAAAGTTAATCACACACTCCATCGGAATGTTGCTGAGCCAGAGTTACAATGCAGGGCAATTTGCCTTTGAAGCCTAGATTCCAGACAACTACATTTCTGTTCATATGAAGTTAGTTATGTTGTTATCCTCATTGTTATTCTCCAATAACACCATGGATGATCTAGAGCCGTTCTTGGTACTAGACAGAGGAGACAAAGCAAACATACTATTCAATTCAGACAACTTGGGGCTCCTTCTCCTGGTAAAGGACTCTGCCTCAGGCAACACTGGTTCTCTAAACTTCAGGCCCTTACTTCTGGCTCCCTCATTTATTAAAAATGATTTAGGTATGTTGATACACAGCCTACATCATAAGGGCAAAGCATATACAGCAGTGAACAAAACAGAAATATTTGGTGCACATGAACCATACATAAGTTATTTGGGTGTAGACAACAAATAAACAAAATATAATGTCGACTGATGATAAGTTCTATGCAAAGTGTAATACAGATAGGGGAGAAGCAGCGAGTAACACGAGCTTATTTATCTTTTGAGTTAGTGCAGGGAAAAGCAAAACAATCAATTTACAAAACACTAGATAGTGAAAACTGACATGGTAAGAAAAAAATCGTACTTTCAATTCTAACAACTTGGAAGCCAACTGTGATGATTTTGCAAACACTCATATAGATTTCAGATGCTCACTGACTTCAACAAGTCCCAATCTATAAGCACAGGAGTCAAAGAGCTCCACTGACCTTCATGCCCAAGAAAAATACATTGCTTATAGACAGAGAAGAAAGTCATTAGCAATAGATTCAACATATAAATTGGGGACACTAGAAACATAAATGCAGCACAAATGAATAGTATAAAGAGGATAATAGGAAAATAAACACTATAGTAATGATATAAGGCACAAAAAAAAAATGAAGATTTCCAGTTTCTGGTTCAATATTTAAGGAGCTTGTATATCATTACTCCCATTCTTACAACAAGAAAAAAGCTGAACATATTGAACTCAGACATTTGAGGTAACAGGGCAAACTGCTGCTTCCAAGATTGGAGGGACACATAGATACAATCATACCAGAGCAGAAGCCCAGGAGCAAAAACTGTCCCTAGGATCAATACTGAAGTGGGAAAACTGAAAATTAATTGATGAATTACTAGCTTATTGTGAGAAAACTTGCAGGTTGAAGAGTCAGGGGGACCCAATCTTAGGAGGACACAGTCTTAGGAGGACACACTTAGTTTCGTGAGTTTTAATTCCAGGAACTTACCAGGTCCTCAGTGCAAAGATCACACACAGAAAAGTTTCCTTGTGTTTCCAATAAAAGAGAAGATGAAAAGTAGACATTCTGAAACTCATCCATTCTGCCTCTTTAACCAGAGTCTAAGTAATTTGGAGTCATGAAATACCAAACACCAGCCCCATGTAGGTTTCCTGTAACACCAAAGTGGGGAAAGGCAGAAGCAGGGAAGCACTTTTGAGGTCTGTGCCCAGGGGCACAGGTGCACTAAAAGACTGAGACCTTATTAACGGGCTATACCATACTTCCCCTTCCTGCCACCTTTCCAACACATCAATAACAGAGGACTGCAACCAAAAGAACTCCAAGTCTCAGACCTGATTTCAGAAGTCTCAAGGAAAGCCAAACACAACAGGGAACAAAAACAAGATCAGAGAACATTTTGGCCTCTGTCAAGTACAGCAAACAGTAAACACAGGCTAACGTCTAGCCAAATAAAGATAAAACCTCATACTAAGCATCTATTTATTTATCTCAGTTCCTTTTCCTTAGTACATCATCTCCAGTTTTCCACAAAAAACTACAAGGCATACTAAAAACAAAAATACAGCTTGAAAAGACAGAGCAAGCATCAGGGCCAGTGGCAGAGATTTTGGAGTTATCAGACCAGAAATTCAATACAAAACACAACAGATGGATAATGTAAGTACAGTCAGTCCCAAACTTATGAAGAATTAGTTACGATGAACTGCACTTATGACTATTTTTTGACATATCATTATGATATGTACTACATGCAATGTTGCAGCACATAATTTGTTGATGTTATTCTCAGATGCTTACATGCAGATATTCAAAGATCAGACTTATAAAGATATTGACAATAATACGTAATAATCTTTTAAAAAATACGTATTTGACTTATGTCAGAACCGACTTACAACAGATTTATCATTATGGAACCCTGTCCTAAGTAGGGACTCCCTGTAGAGAGATGGAAACTACAACAAAGAATCCAAATGAAATGTTATAAATCAAAAACATTGTAACAGAAACGAAGAATGTCTTTAACAAGTTGTAAAAATGGCATGGGGGCGATGTCTGACCTCCTCTAACTTCACCAGGAAGATGAACCAAGATCAACAGCGCAAGCCTGACTCCCATGAGGGGGAGGCTAGACAAGCCTCCTCTCTCCACCATTTTTACCAGTTCTGACACTAACCATCCCTCACACACCACTCTCTACTGGGTTCGATAATTCATTGCAATGGCCACACACAACTCACAAACCATACTTACGATTATGGGGTATATTAGGAAAGTAACAATTACAATTCAGGATTAGGAACACTCAAGATAAAGTTCTTCCATCAGGATAGCCTCTTCCCAGCCATGCCCACAGGCATGCCTCTCCCTGGCCCTAGGCCTCTTCCAAAAGGCACTCAGCTTTCTCTCTCTATGGGCTGGGAAGCCCACCGCACCTGCACCGTCTCCTGCTGCCAGGTCTCTCCTGCCACTGCTTCTCACTGTCTTCAGGGTTACAGCTTGCTCTCTTTCTTGGTCTCCTGTTTCCAGGAGCTTCTCAGCACGGGGATCTTGGGTCCAAAGGACACGCTGTACGCT